CCACCACCGGGGAGCCCTGACCGCCAGGTCTCCAGGCCCCTGGGGCTCCCCTGGGCTCCTTCCTCTGTTACATCTCTGGATTAGAGACCAGTAGTCTCCCAGCACAGAGAAGCGCCCCAGGTGTTTGGCAGCACATTCTGACCTCCGTGATGGGACCTGGGCACGTGTCTCTCTCTGAACCAGAAAATGTCCCAGGGGCTGGAAGAGCCTCATTGCTGTCAACCCAGCCTGCCTTGCCTTCACCATCTAGGACAAGGATGGCACGCAGTTTTCCACTACAGATTTTTTAATTTTGGCTGACTGGCGGTGACTTCTTGGTGTGCTGTGTTGAGAAGGATTCTGAGGTCCACTGTTAGGACAGTATGCAGTGATCAACAAGCGATGCCATGAACATGGAACTGGGCAGTCACGATGGTGGTCCCTGTGTGTCCAGCATTCCTCGCAGAGAAGCTCCAGAAACCTCAAGTGCGGTTCTGCCGTTTCTCAGACTTCTGCACTCAGCTTGTCAGGAGGGAAGAGGCGGTTGTGAACTCACTTCCTGTTTTAGCCAACAAAGTTGTCCCCATCAGTATTATCTTTGCTCTTCTTGCTAAGTAAGGAAGCTCAAGGCCTCGCCCCTGAGCCCCACACTGGCTTTGGAGGCAATGACATTCCTTCCCAGAGTGAGAGGTAGCCTTTCACAGCCCAAGGAATTGCTGGGCAAAAGGGAGGTCGCAGCAAGTAACGCAAGCTCGGCAGCCAGCATCCCAGGCACAGATGCCCCTCCTGACTCTCCCGGCCTGAGATGCTGCCCAATGCCATCCACGTGTCCATGACCCAGGCTTGTCCATGGGAAGTGCCTAGGATAATATTTGTGTCATTGGGAACACTGCTTGTCTGATGGTTGGTTGATACAGGGCCAATGAGCACGTGGAGGTGGGGGTGGGGGCTCAGAGAAAAGGCAAATGGGAGGTTCCCTCGTGGCACAGCACTGGGTGACCAAACAGGACCGCTATTCTATTCAGCAACAGAGCCCAGCTCTGAGCCCTACGCGTGGCACTTGGGAGGCCCTTGGCTCCTTGGAGCCCCACGCTCCCCTCCCTGCCAGCCGCCTCAGGAACATGTTAACTCCTCGATGCCCGGCCACCAGGGCACAGAAGCACTCGGGGCACGAGCTCATTTAAAGGGATGGCTCTAACCAGCATTGCACGCCACGCGAGATCCCTGAATTGTCGTCCCCTTCTGGCAGTGGGTGGGAGGGGGTACTGTGAGGTGGAGTGGGGCCTCCACAAAGTGGAGGAAAATGTCACCAACCTGCTGTGTGACTCAAGCCTTCCTGCTGCAAGCCTTTGTTTGCCCTTCTATAAAACGATGGGGACAGGGGTGTCAAATCTACAGTAGATGTACCCCCACCGCCCACTTCCACAGCCACGGCAGACGTCAATAATGGATTGTGCCCCCTTTAGAAGTTTGAACACAGACTCCTGGGAGCCTGCAGCACTTACGTGGACATGGCCCTCAAGACAGAATCTACTCGCCATCTCGTGATTACATGAATTCACAAGATTCAATTCTAACATTGACTTTTTTGTTTTGTTGTCAAATCTTTTCTTTCCTGGTGCTGCAGACAACCCACGTTCCTCTGAGCCTGACCCTTGGCAGAAACTACACCCGAAAGGAAGGCTGGGCCTGTCTGGTGAGGGCTCCCCGTGGTGGGTCCACTTCTAACTCGTCACTGTGGCTGTCACACCTTTTCACAAGGATGTGCCAAAAGCTGGTAGCTCAGACACATCACAAGATACTCCAAGTTCCTGAATTTTAGGGAGTCAGTACTGGAAAGAGCTCCAGGGACGGGACGAGCCTGCCCAGTTCTCAGATGAGAAAACCGAGGCCCCGTTAGAGCTTTGTCTTCTGACACCACATCCAGTGCCAAGGTTCTCCTCCACCCCATTTTTCCCCCTCCATATCACACTGGCTTATTTCTTAAACTTGGGGAGAAAAGCAGAAATATTACTACTCTTTCCCCTTGAAGAGATTATTTGATACTGTTAATACTAGTTACTAGTACTAACAATTTACTACACACATTTACTAAGCACAGTGTTGAGTGCTTTACATGTGTTACATTTACTGAATCCTCACATAGCCCAGTGAATCTGCCATAGTGAAAACTGAGGCACAGAGAGGTCAAGAAACTTGCCCAAGATATAACAGCGTAAGTCACGGAGCCTGGATTCACTCTCGGTCCGAGGAGTAGAGTTCATTCTCCCCACACAACAATGTTCCCTTCCTCTGCCTCTCGATTCCCACACCCCACAGGTGGCCAGGACACGGAGCACGCCTCATTTAACACAGGAGGACACTAAGGCACAGTGAGGCCAGGGACCTGCTGCTGAGCACCAGCTGAGCTGGCTGCCAGCGTGGTGGCTGGCGAAGGGCCAAGGGCCCTGAGGCCTCCCACTGTGCAGGCAGCTGGCTCGGGGAGGCACGGCTGCTCCAGGCTTTCCCCGCCGAGTCTAGCCAGTCAGCTCCATCCCAAGATTCAAATTGCACTACCCTACCGCACCTCTCCTGGTAAAGGGCATACTGGGTCCAATGAGTCTTTAAAAAAACCCACTCCCCAACATGCGCTGGGATGCCCTCTCCTCGGTTAAATAACACATCTAGTGGCTAAAAGTCCTTGGCCGTGGGGAGTGAATACTGATGGACGGAGGCCGGACACAGGCCGTGGAAGAGTCTTCTTTCACAGGGCAGTGGGCTAAGTCACTCAGCTCTCCTCCAAGTATTTCTGGTTCATTTCCTTTCCGTCACATGCTGGCATGGCACTTCCCAGCCTCCTTGAGGTGGGGTGGGCCATGTGACTAGCTTTGGCCAACAACTGCATGGAATGAGCTCCTCTCACTTCTGTGTCACAGCGGGTTGTTTGCCAGTGTGAGTCCTTCCAGAGCTTTTCTCCCTTGGTCACATGGCGGCATCATTCCATGTAATGACTGCCTCTCACCTGGGTCCAGAGCAGACTGGAGCTCCTGAATGGCCCACGATGGACGTGCAGTGTGACTAAGAAATCAACTTTGGTGGTTTCCAGCTACCACAATTGCTTTGTATGTTTAGGGTCTTTGTTACTGTGGCATAACCTAGCCTCATCGGGACAGTTAGAGCCCAGTGTCAACACTGCTTCCCAGAAGCCAGCCCCTTACTAGGCACTGTCGGGTGGGAGCAGAGAGCAGAGGGCCATGGGTCGGACAGGTCCCGCAGCTCCAGTCTCCAGGGGCTTCCAATCTCATGGCAGAGACAAGCGTGGACAGGGCCCCTCTAACCTACAGCAGATAATGCCAAGTGCCCAAGTGAGAGATGGTACAAACAGACCTCTTCTGACCAGAAGAGATCAAGGAAGATCTCTGGGAGGAGGTGGCAATGAAGTTGGCCCCAAAGGCTGGGTTGGACTGGGGCATGTGGAAATGGCCAAAGGCATTCCAGAGAGAGGGAACAGTAAGGGCAAAGGGCAGGAAATGCTGCAGAAGAACAGACTGTGCTGGAATAAAAGGTCTGGGAAGATCAGAACTAAGAAATGAGGTTAAAAGGCTCAGGTTAAGGAGGTTCTTCATGCTATGGCCTTGACCCTAGACACAGTGGGGAAATGCCAAGTTTATAATCAGGGCATGACATGTTCAGTGTTCTGTTTCGGCCAAGGCCCCTGGCAACCAGAATGGAGGGCAGGGGAGGGCAGGGAGACTCAAAGGCATGGTGGTTAGTGGGATGCCCCAATGACCCGGGCGGGGCGATGGTGGCCAAACCCAGCAAAAGAAAAGGTAGAAGAGGGATCTCGAGGCTGATTGCCAGAGGTGGGAACGAAAAGGCAACAGGACTAGAGTCTGCACTTGGGGAAACAGATGGAGGGGAACATCCCCATTGGTCCCTGCATGTCACACGTGGGACATAAGCCTAGACGTTAGCAGTGAGTTAGAGCTGGATCAGGAAAGACAGGCAGGAGAGGACAATAGCAGCACTTCTAAGAACACACTTAACATGGGACACGAATCGGAAGGCACGCGGAGACAAACTAGGCAAGGCCTCGATGGCAGGTTGAGGCACATGGACTTTATTTTACAGACCAGGGTTTGCAAACTTTGGGCCCATGGAGTGACTCCGCCCCCACAGGCAGGCTTTGTTTGACGTATTTCAAAAGTCCAATCAGTTGCCAACATTTGGAGCCAAAAGAATTCACGTGAAAATTCTCATTTCTGGCATGTGGTATGTCCACAGAGCTGGCCACACTGAGCCCGTCTCCCCACCTAGTTACAGCCGGCCACAGCTGAGGAGCAACCCCCTCTGTGTGCCAGGCGCGGGCACTCCAGCTGGACGCGATCCCCAGCACCTGCCTGTCTGGCTCATCTCTCCTACGCTAAATAAACATCTCTGCCGGGCCGCGGTGAGCCTGGCAGGAGTGCAGGCAGCCCCTGAGGGGGATCCCCTGGCTCATGCTGGAAAGCGAGGAGAGAAATAATTTCTAAGAAGCACACTGCCACAAGCTCCTCTGAGCCTGGCTCAGATCAGAAGACGCAGGGGAAGGCACAGTCTGTCTCCAATTAGATACCGAATCAGCATCTGCTCTGAGCCAAACCTGTGCTGGGAACTGTCCCCAGGAGTCTCCAGTCAAGCAGAGGAGGAAGACATACAGACAGGCTAGTGGGACACCAGGCTATGTGCGCTGTGCTAGGCCCACCTGGGGCGTGGTAGCCGCACAGCACGAGGGACTCGCCAGTCTGCAGAGAGTTCCAGGCATTTGACTCAACAAAGTCTCAGAGGATGAGCAGGGTTTCGCCACATGAGATGGAAAGAAAAGAGCTCCAGACTAGAACTGTGCAGGCAAAGGTAAGTCTAAGGCACCCAGTTCTTGCTCTGAGGGTAGCAGAGGGCAGCCACAGAAGGCTCTCAGGCAGGGAGGGGCAGAGAGATCCGTGGCCCCTTCTCCCCAGGACTCTGGTCCCCGCCCCAACCCTCTCAGATGGGCGCTCACTCACCGAGGGTCTGCTGGTTGCGGACACCGCCAATCACCACGCAGATCTCGGCAGGCACGTCGCCCGTCCCATCCTTGCTGACGGCCTTCTTCTCCTCCTTGGCCTCGCCCTGCCAGATCACCTCCTGGATGTAGTCATCGGGCACCTCTGTCTTCACCTTCACCTCCGTCATCGTTCCCTGCTCCGCACTCAGCGAGCCCTCGGCCGGCACGGGCTCTGGCCCCTCCACCTTGGTGCTCTTCTGGCTGCGCTTCAAGCGCTCCCTGGAAAAGAGGACAGTCTGTTCGGTTGGATGTCATGCCCACCCCACACCTACCTGGGAGCCCACCAGCCCAGGGGGCTGCAAAATCTTTAGCTATAGACCCTCCTCTCACATGAACCTCTCCTGGAAGCACATGTCCCATGGCTGCCCTGGGTGGGGGGGTCCTCCCGGAACGCCTGGGGCTCCAGTTCCACCCATTTTACAGCTGGGGAAGCCGGGCTGAAGAGGTCTAAACGTGCCCAGTAACTCCTGTTGCTGGGGTCAGAAGAGCCCGAAAACGGCAGCTCTGGCTGACTGGAATCAATTCTTAAGCTTCAATGAGCACGTAAGTAAATCAGCTAAGAATCTTGGTCAAATGCAGATTCTGGCCCAGCAGGTCCGGGTTTTGGCCTGAGGTTCTACATTCCCAACAAGCGCCCACTGAGGCTGGTGCTGCTCCGCCCTCCACCCACACGTGGGCGGGAGGGTTTAAGTGGCTGGTTGGTGCCGTTCCCTTCACTCCCTGGCAGAAGGCCTGGGGATCTCTTCCAGGCTCTTCCCGGCTCCAGTTTCACAGATGGGGAAACTATAAGCCAAAAAGGCTAACTTGGTTGAGATGTCCTGGAGCCAACACTCGGCCTCCAACACGCCGGCCTCTAGGTGGCTCTTCAAATATCAGGAAACATCCTCAAGGTAACAGCTCAATACTGAGGTGGGCAGGGCACATGGACACTGAGGCCTAAGCAGAGCTGTGACTTGCCCAGGGCCACACACAGAGCTGTGACTTGTCCAGGGAAAGCCAAGGCATTTAGCCAGGTCCCTGCCATCAACTCCTCAACCATGCTGTTGTAAGGGACCCTGAGCCCGGGGACAGTCACCATCACTCCTGTTTCTGAGGTGGGGAAGCCAAGGTGTGCACAAACTGGGACATCAGGTCACACTCCATCCAGCTTGGGGCTGCTGCCCTGGCTGTGCCAGCCTCCCCCACGGCTCCAGAGAAGCGTCTGCACGGTTATCTTCAGGCCCGGACTCGAGGCACACTCGGGCAGGACTCATTAGCACACCAACCGGGAGGCAGGGGCCCAGGTTCTGATCCTGGATCCACAGCGGACTTGCTGTGTGACTTTAGACAAGGCCCTTTTCCTCTCTGGGCTCCAGCCCCATCTTTCACAACAGCATGGGTTTCATCAGGTCTGCTGTCCCTTCCAGCCCTCAGCTCTCTCCCAGGGTGGAGAAACTGAGCCAAGACAGAGAGAGAAAGGAAAGGCCACCAGGGAGGTGTTATGGACTAAATCATGTCCTCAACCCCTCCGACTTATCTGGTGAAGTCCGAATCCCCATCGTGACTGTCCCTGGAGAGAGGGTCTTCACTAGGTAATTATCAAGGTTAAACAGGTCCTAAGAGAGGGCCCTCACCTGATAGGACTGTGGCCTTTGGGAAAGAGGGAGATCTTTCTCTGACTCTGTCCCCAAGTGAGGACCCAGAGAGAAGGTGGCCATCTGCAAGCTAGGAAGAGGGCCGGCACCAGAACCCAAGCCTGCTGGCACCCTGATCTCAGACGTCCAGCCTCCAGACCTGGGAGAAAACAGCCCATCCATGGTACTTCGTATGGCAGCCTGAGCTGACTGATATAGGAGGCCAGGATGCAGGCGAACGGGACAGAAGGAAAAGGGAGGTGGACAGGACACCAGCTAGAGGCAGTGCCAGCAAGCCACCCCTCCCCTGCCCTGTGACTTGAGGCAGCCACCTAACCTTGGAGTTTCGTTTTCACACCTGCAAAGTGGAGCTAACAGGGTTCACGCACGGATTTCAATCAACTGACGCCTGAAAAGCACTCAGCTCGGTGCCTGCCCTGCAACTGCTCCCGAGGCGTAGCCGCCCTTACTGTTACTGACAATGAAAACTGTCAGAACATCTTCAGCACCCGGCGGGCTCAGTGACGCCCCCTCCTTGTGTGCTCGCCACATCAGGACCAGACCCCATCTGACCACACGCCCTTCTCCTCGGTGGGAAACATAAAACCAGGTGAGCCAATCACCTCAGCATTCATTGCTTTTATTTATTTGAGAAACACATCAAGAGTGTTCTGTGTGCCAGGCACTGTTCTAACACTGCCCTGAGAGGTAAGTCCTGGTATGATCTCCATTTTACAGATGAGGAAACTGAGGCACAACCTGAAAGAACTTGTCCGAAGTCACCCGGGTACCAAGAAGTGGGACTCGGACTGATGCAGGCACCCGGGCTCTTAGCTGCGACGGACTGATGCAGGCACCCGGGCTCTTAGCTGCGACGTACCCAGTCTGGCGGAGAAACTTTCAGAGGGAGGCCTGCCCACCAGCACCCCGTGTCCCCCATCCTTGCCCTTCGGCATCCAGAACAGAGTTAGGACCAAGGTGTTAGGGGGTGTCCAGGAGGACAGGGGGCTCCTCGCTTTTCTGGTTGCTGTTGACTCCACAAGACCTAGCCAGCTAGAGGCCCCCTAGTAAGATCCGGTGTGCACCCCCTCAAAAGAGGGTCATGTCTATCCCATCTCAGAAAAAAAGCCTTTTGAGTTCGGAGAGGTCCCAGGCATAACCAGGACTGACACGTCTGAGGAGTTACACGGGACAGCTATGTTTTTATGGAGGGCGAACATCCCTGCCAGTGACAGGAGGGGACAGGCTGAGGGTAGGGAGATCCCTGGCACTGAGGGGCCGGAGTGGAGGCTGGCTGACGGCCTGGCAGGGGTGTGATGTGATGACTTGAGAGGAAAAGAGCACCAGGGTTTGAAGTCAGAGCATCCCAGGGCCAAATCTCAGCACTGCCCTGCTGGAGTTGTGGGTTACCGCATCAGTGACTTCAGCCCCCCCACCCCGAGTCTCAGTCTTCACACCCATACAATGGGTAGACACAGCACCTACTTGTCAGCGCTGTGATGCAGACAACAAGGCAATATTTGCATGGGACCTAGGACAGTGGCCCCCGGGGAAATGTCCTATGGGTATCTACTGTCTTGTAGGGGTGGGACAGGGGAGTGTGCCCAGGATGCAAGGGAAGGGGCTTACCTGGCACAGGCTCCAGTGCAGGGGCTGGGGAGGTAGACCGGTGGGAGTTCAAATCCTAACTCTATCATTTCCTGGTTGGTGTTGCTGAGCAAGGCCCTGACCCTCTCTGAGCCTGTTTCCATATCTGTGAAGCAGGGACCCCCACACCCATTCAAAAGGCCTTGTGAGGATCAACTGCAAAAATGTACACATAACACATTGTCTAAATCAACTCATAGAGATGATCGTGCTGGTGGAGACTGTTGTAGAAGAGGCTGAAATTCCCATTCCCTAGGTGAGACCACATGGGTGCTAATGGTCAGCCAGTCCTGCCCCTCTGAGGGTCACTAGGCATGAAGACGGAAGGCGGGGTCCTGTCCGACCCTCAGTGCCAGTCCGGCAAGAACACGGCCCATGGGGCTGAGGGTGGGTAGAGTGCTGGGCAGGCCAGCACTCCAGGACCAGCAAAGAAGCCCACAGCGGGTGTCCAGCCTGCCCATGGGGAAGGGCAAGGGGAGGAGAGGGGAGGGGACAGATTAGGCCCTCGCCCAGGACACCCTCAGCCCTTTCTTCACTGCCCACATTCTGAAGCTCAGCCTGAGTCCTGGGAGTACTTGATCACACCATCGGGACAGACCTGGTGTCCCTTCCGGCTCTCAAGAACCGCACTAGCACCGTGAAGTCCTAGTCAGAGGGAGGAGCTACTGAAAGTCAGAAAGGCTGGGCGCCCGCACGCCCTGTGACCTCGGGCAGGAGACTCCCTTCTCTGAGCCTCGGTGTCCTCGTCTGTTCAAGGGGGAGCACGAGCCTCGCCAGGGCGGGAGCAGGCGACGAGCCAGGGGCTGGCACCTGTCATGAAAAGGATGGCAACCCCACCTCTAGGAAGCCTGCCCCACTCACTGGAGATGGAGCTGACCCCTCTCTGAACGTCCCATCTGCGTTGCGCAGGGGATTCTTACACTTTACACTGGCAGCCACGTGAGCCGTCCTCTCCCCCTCAGGTACAATGGCCCGCAACACACACTCCCTTAACGGGGACGCCACGGCACCCTCACCACACTGGGCACACGGGCAACTTCTCTCCCCCAGCAACTTCTCTCCCCCGGCTTCACGCTGTAGATTTACAAGCCCAAACGTCCCTTTTCTCAGATGCTGTGCATTTAATTAGGTGTCCTAATAACAGTGAAATTGCAGGAGTACTTATATCACTTTGAGTTAGTGGCGCAGCTCCTTCTAACTTCTGTAAAAAAAAAAATCTTTTTTTCATATATCATTTTTTAAAATAGAGCTCATTATTTTAATTATATCCATTTAAATGTACAGTGGAGCCCTTGGATATTCTCAGCACGAATCATTAGGTATATTAGGGAAAAGCACTCGGAATCTATCTACATGCTGACACTCCACAATCTATTCTATTTGTGTCTCTGTAAAACAGATTTATATATAGATAACTACAAAATAGTTGCTCAAGATATGCTATGAATTTTATATTTAACCCAAATCACACTTCAACATAAAATCTGAAGTCGGCACTAAAAGGATATTTCTCGGCAAGTACACAGCGTCTGTGGTGGCTGGCTACCGCTCGTGCCAGAATGCTGGGACAGAAGCCAGACCAAGTGGGTCCTTGTCCAAGGAATTCCCTAAGAGCCCCCTCCTTCCACTAACGCTGTGGTTCGCAAAGTGTGTCCCTTAAAGGCCTAGGGGCCCCACAGCAGTGGCCCCAAAGCACCCAGGAGGCCTGAATGAGGAGGGAGGTACTGCGTAGGGCTCCAAGACCCCACTCTCTCTTTGATATGCATGGCTTGGCCCAATACATACCTATTTGGGCTTTCTCCCTATAGTGGGGTAAATGGTGCTCTCCCCAATACAGGCCTACATCCCAGTTTCTAGAACCCGTGAGTGAGACCTTATTTGGAAAAAAGGTTCTTTGCAGATACAATTAATTTAAAGATTTTGAGATGAGATCATTCCGGATTATCTGGGAGGGGCCTA